ACTGTGTTATTTATAATCTGGCAGTATATAGGTTATTAATGGTGTACAGAACAATTTCCACATGGCGTGTATCTCCCAATGACTACAGGACCAGCAATTTTTACATACAACATAGTGAGACACAATTAAAAAATATAACTGTTTTGGCTTTCTATATATCCCTAGATTGGGCCCAGGAAAGTAGGAAAGCACTGAAAGGCTAAGTTCACCATCGTAATAAAATGCACTATGCAGTCGAGGGGCCCAAGTTATTTTTTTTTAAACTGTAGCTTTAAAATTTGTAGTTTAATTTAAATGTCATACTTGTAGGCCCAACAAAGTCCAAATCCCACTCGCACTGCCACGGTCTCAAAACCACAAGGTACCCAGGTGACCACACGGATGGCGCCGTCCAAAACACTAATAGTAAATAAAAGTAATTCACCGGCACATACTTGAAGAATTTTAAAGTATTGATTATGTTTATACTGTCATACGGTGCTAACGTTTCGAGTCCGCTCAGGGATCCTTCATCAGAGCGACAGTGACACCCATCACAGTTTACCCACAGCCTGGCTAAAAAACTACTATTTGGGGTGATATATGCCATCCTGCCAGTAATCTGGAATGCCCCTAATGTTGAACGTGCTCCTAGCATTACTTAAAGTATCAGTCTCCCTCTTTCAATACCCCCACATGTGCACTGCTCCCCTTGTCATCACAGCAGCTTAGCCAAGATAGAGCCCACATAATTTCCAGGCTGCTTTATTTAGCTCTTACCTCCCTTGCCTGATTATCTCTGGCTTTCAAATGCCCATTCCTCCAGATTGACACTCATTCATGTAGGCCTTTGGATATTTGCATAACTCCTCCCAAGATCCAGCTCAATGCTTGCATCAGGATTCTTCAGAGAAGTTCTGAGGAGAGTGCTGTGATATGATGTTTTAGGAAGCTATGTACCCCAGCCCCGAGCTGGCCCCTCCCACCAGACATGATCTTCCTGCATTGCACGGAGAAGCACAAAGACCCAGTGATGATAGGGAATGTAATAAAAATGCATGTAGAAGGAAAGACTATGTAATAACCCCCCACTTATAAATATTGCCTCCCAACTGCTCATATATTTGCTGTATAAAGTTTGTAATAAAACACGATGTAAATACCTGTTTTTAATCTTTTTCCAAGAGGGCACAGCAAAGCTCCAGCGTTTGTTCCTGTCTGTGCAGGCTCAACAATGCTATTAAATCCATGCAGCAGTCAGGCCCAGATTTCCTACAAGGCCACCGAGGCCCGGCCTCAGGGCGGCAGAGCGCAGAGGGGCGGCAGCGGTGACCTTGTGGGGAATATTTGTTTATTGAAATAAAATAAATAAAAAAATATAATTTATACAAAATGTATTTATTACAAACTGTATGCAGCAAATATAAGCGCAGTGGGGAGGCACCATTTAAAAGGGGGGTTATTACATAGTCCTCTTTAGGTCGTCTCTAGAACAGGAACAGAGTGGAAGTCTGGATCACTTTTTCTGGTGACAGCTGTCCAAGAGGCTGACTTACCTCTCACTGACTTACCTACCACTATGTCTATAGCATACAAGTGAAGGGAAATCTCTTGAATGGGACAAAGAAAAAGAACATGAGAAGGGTTTTAACCTTTTTCTACATTTATCCAAAAGCAAAAAAGTTCTGGATTTATATGTACTTTAACAAAGCAGAAATTGTAGTTCAGTGTTGCCATGAACAGAATACATACAGAGTTAATTGTTTACAAGGACATGCTCTCTGTGCTGGAGCAGGTTTGTACCAAAGATGTGTTAAATAAGTAATTGTTACTGAGTAAGCTCTTTTAACAAATTACTAATTTGTACAATAAAATAGTTTTCACTAGAACATGCCGAAGTTAAAGTGATTTTAAAGTCAAATGGTTTTTAAGCTATTTCAAACGCTGATCAAATTATTTACAATGGATGCTGCTCCTTGATGTTTAAAAGTTTTAGTTTCATGTAAAATCAGCACTGACTCTGATATCCTGCTTTAGGGTGGCTCCTTTTCCTTGCAGGGTCCCATGCAGACACCCTTGTTTGTACTAGTAAGCTGTGTGTGTCTCCACCAACACACAGACACAGCAAGGCATGCCACTTCCCTCCTCCCTTCTCCAGGCTAGTAGATGGACTGCTGCTGCAGACTGCTCTGTCCCTTGTGATCTTGTAGAAAAAGTACAGGATTACTGTGCAACGCAGATAGTCATAAAATGCCACTATCCTGTTCGGTTGCACGGGCAGAATGGCGGCGGGAATCCGCGCAATCCGCCCGGCAGTGGCGTAGCAACCGGGGGTGCGGGGGGGTCACTTGCCCCGGGCGCAGGACTGAGGGGGAGCGCCGTCACGACCCCCGCTAAACGAAGCCATGGCTCCCTCTCCCTGACACGATCACCTGGCAGCCGCCCGGTGCGACTGGGGTGCCATTAGAAAATAATGGCACCGCAAGCGCGATTGGAGGTGGACAGAGACTCCGTAACCGCACTCAAGGTTTCATGAATTCCTCTGTGAGACTCATGTGATCTGCTGCAAGCGGGAGGTGTTGTACAATGCAATAACAGCTACGCCCCACCTGCAGCCGATCGCAAGTCTCATTTGGGAAAAGGTGAGATTTATGTAATCTAGCCCTGTTCACAAGTGCGAATGGGGCCTTAGAGAAAATACATTTAAGTTACAGCATAATTAGATAACTGAAAACATAAAACATTGTGGCCGTAATATTCTGTTTCATCAGATAATATCTCCAATCTTCAGAAGAAACAAAATATCTTAAGTATCTTGGCATGTTGGAACGAGGAGAAAACATGCAACGGTCTAAATTCATTCAACTTCAACAACATCCGCTATGACAGATACAGAAGCTGCAAAGAAATCCGTCAGTATGACAGCAATGCCAGAGGTGAGACCCAGGATTCATAAACATATACAGTATATATAATGGCCTTAATTACTAATAAAGTACAAAGTATTGGTGTGCAGTAATCCATAACAACCAATACAAAACAATTGCTTACAGTGGAGGAAAACCAATATCTTATTGGCTGCTAAAGGTTACTGCACATTATTTCCAATTAAACAGGTCTAGCACCTATCCGAGCCTGTGACAAGACATAGAAGAAACAGCAGCACATCTATGAGATCGTCACTCATCCACTTTGGAGGCTATGAGGGTTAGATGTACAACACTGTGAAATGCAGTTGAACCTGTGTCCTTAGAGCCGTGGTTCTCACCTTTCTTATATTTACTTGTTTCCATTCTTGCGAGACCTTCCCTGTGTGGCCTGGGCTTTACTTCCACAAATGTGCACAACAATCTCCACTCATTGATATTGAAAGAGTGTGAGATAATGAAAGAAGAAGCAGAGCCCGGCAAAGAGACTTTTGAATTTGCCATTTTTTGAAATGTAACAGACAACCTATAATTACATATGCCAAAAAATGATTTACATGGGCCAGTTTTATCAGCAATACAGGTGCTCTATACTCTCAACTGTAAGAATAAAAGTGGATTAAGGGATAATGTTCTTGCCAGTCTTTTTACAGGGTCCTAAACTATCCTACTATCAGATTGCAACCGCTTCAAAATACGCAAAGCAGTGTTTGCACCTGTTTGAGCCTAGATAGCAGATACAGCCTGATGCTAAATCTAGCATATTTCTTTATTGACAGATGGAATTTATACTTTGACTACTGAGAATGGAATTTCCTACCAGACCTTCTGTGACATGACTACTGATGGTGGAGGCTGGACCTTAGTAGCCAGTATCCATGAGAACAACTTTTATGGAAAGTGCACAGTTGGTGATCGCTGGTCCAGCCAGCAAGGCAACAATGAAAATAACCCGGAGGGAGATGGGAACTGGGCAAACTACAATACATTTGGTGTAGCAGATGGTGCAACCAGTGATGACTACAAGGTAACAATTACTAATTTTTATTATCAAAAGTCATAAAAACTAGTGAATTTGCATTACTTTTATGTGTCACTTGCAGGGGAATTTATACACTAGATACATCAGCATTCCTCTGATCTATTTATATACAGTAGTAATTAAAGAGTCACAGTCCTTTCTTAATTCAAGAGTCACAGTCCCCACAGTCCCTTCTATTTATATACAGTAGTAATTCAAGAGTCACAGTCCCCTCTATGCTCTTTATTTCCACATTTAGTAATTCTGCCTGTCTGTTTAGGCCACATCCACAATTATTCACCTTCCGTCTCAATTATATATACAGCAAATACTGTAATTATGTATTTTGAGCTGTAGATGGCAGTGTAGTGCAATGTTAGTCTCTATGCTTTTGTATACTCATCTATAATATATACAAGAAGTTCTGTCTGTATGATGTATAATGCTGTATTCTGAAATAACATTCTCATAAGCAAGTAAAACTTAATTCAGAATTCCTCAAGATCTCAGTGCTTCATCTAAACACATAACCATCATTATATACCTTGCTGCTGAACAATAGTATTGCATAATAATAGCATGCATCTGTAGCCCCTTCCACCTTAAGTGGAGTGGCTACCTAAATTTGGTGATGCTAGCACTGTAATCAGTCTGGCTGATTAGTAGTCTGGTATCATTTGGATAGTTCTGGGTGTTCTGTTATTGATTGGACCTACCTATGAGTGGGGTGTGACCCTGTCACAGAATGGGGCATCCAATACGGGAACCTTAGGAGGGTCTATGCCTCACCAGCCAATCACTATGTGTTTCATGGTCAGTGGTGCATCCTGGGGAAGTGCATAAATACTCAGGGATTGCCATGTGCTAGGGCAGTACATCCCCGGGCCTATTGTGGTAAGATGTACAAGGTTGGAGAAGCTGACTAGGCCTCAAGCCTGGAGGAGGCCACATGTGGACCCAGGTGGGCACTGGAACTATCTGGGAAGGAGAGCCAGAGGAGCCTTGTGACTGCTGGAGGTGCCAGGAAGGCCAGGAGATGGCATGGACCTCAGCTACAATTCTGGTGTCTCTCCCAGGGAAGATGTCATGCACATCCCTATTCAGCTGTTGTTCTACTGCAGTATCATCCTCTGTTCTACTAAAATATTTCTGCACTGTGCAAGCCTGAAACAATTGGTGAGTCTGGAGTCTTGTTTGCTATGGATGACTGAAGCCCTGTACCCTCTCTTCCAGTTTTGCTGTTCTATAATAAAGCATTTAAAAAGACACTTAAAGTGACTGCCGCCAAATTTTGTTCACATCCCACCCCTGAGAGTGAAATGTCAGCCCTCTCTACCCTCTGGGGGTCCACTTCGGGTCTTCGGGGGGTTAGGGGGGTGCTACACATAAAAAAATAAGAATGGATGATCATACACGGGACCATCAAGTTATTAATATCACTGCACAATATTATTATGAACAAAACTAAAAAGTGATACACAGATCAACCAAATATATAGTATAAGTTGAAGAAATAAATGGAGATGATATGCTGCTTTTTGCTCTTTGTGCATGCAGAATCCTGGCTATTATGACATTAATGCCGATAATGTGGGTTTATGGCATGTGCCGAACAAGACTCCACTTCCCCTGTGGAAAACCACCGCTATTCTAAGATATCACACAAAAAGTGACATCCTTTCAGCCCATGGAGGAAATCTCTTTAATCTATACAAGGTAAGCAAACAGCATGGGGCTATACATTTGATTATATACGCAAAGACTTGGGTTTGGGAATTGTGAACAACAAATATAAAAGATGACATTGCCAACTTGGCCTTTAAATGTGCAAGTTCTATTTCTTATTCTCCCTTACCCAGGACAAATGGGCAATGAGAATTTATAGCGAAATACTTGGTTATGGTCAGCAATTTACTAAGTAGTGAACCAAGGCTAGAGCTTCCACATTTAATACCTGCAGGCCTTGTACACAGAGGGTTCGGCTTGTACTCAAGCAGTGTGTGCTGCAGTCCCTCTCTCTCTCCCCCCCCTCCGCCTCGATTGATACATATACAGCTTCCACCTGACCCGTGCCCGGGAGTTCAGCCAGCACCTAGAATCGAGTGCCCCACTTTAGCCTGCTACCACCGCCAGACACCTGGATCACTGCCGCAGCATCGCGGGATTACGAGCCGCCTGTGTCCCTTCTCCGCCGTCACACACACAAATGTGACACCACCGGCCCCTTACGCCGCACACCATTAGGTCTGCTATCTCCGTCCCCCACCTCTTTCACAAACACAGTGTGACATCACCGGCATCCTCCACATCGCAGAGACCGTCGGCCCCAGTACCGCCACAGCCCGCCCCTCCCCCTGTCGGCAATCTCCTGGCCACAGTGTGACACTACCAGGGAAGACCTCGGACTCATCCCCCTAGGCCTAGGACAGAACCGCCAATTAACCCCCCTCTTTGACCAGCAAGTGAAGAAGACACCGCCTCCACCCCCTCGTCACCCTTGATCAACAGAACAACAGGCAACAGACATCCCACCTTGGAACACCAGAACCATCCATCTTCACCCGTCGCCGATGATTTTGTAATACTCCTTATCTAAGGCAAGTAAAGAAGAACACACCACCTCGGCTTCCTCGCTATCTTCAATCAACAGGACAACAGACGTTAAATATCCCACCAAACAACGCATGACAAGTAAAGAATACACCGCCACCACCTCGACTTCCTCGCTATCTTCAATCAACAGGACAACAGACGACTGACATCCCACCAAACAACGCAAGTCAAGTAAAAGAACACACCGCCACCGCCTCGGATTCCTCGTTATCTTCAATCAACAGGACAACAGACGACAGACATCCCACCAAACAACGCAAGGCAAGTAAAGAACACACCACCACCACATCGGCTTCCTCGCTTTCTTCAATCAACAGGACAACAGACGACAGACATCCCACCAAACAACGCAAAGCAAGTAAAGAAGAACACACCGCCTCGGCTTCCTCGCTATCTTCAATCAACAGGACAACAGACGATAGACATCCCACCAAACAACGCAAGGCAAGTAAAGAACACACCGCCACCACCTCGGCCTCCTCGCTATCTTCAATCAACAGGACAACAGACGACAGACATCCCACCAAACAACGGGCCACAGCAAAGATCATTTGGAACACCGAAACCACCCACCTCTACTCCTCGCCGATGATATCGCAACACTCCTTACCTAAGGGTAAGTTACTACATTTGTTTTGAGTTATTTTTCACACAATTTTACTCATCTCCATATCACACATTTATGTTTTCTGGGTCATTCTGGAGAAATTGGATCTACCACTGAAGGTCGGGAATCACAACTTGCCCTTATTTTCCCAGCCCTCACTTCCTATAAAAATCGCCCTGCTCTCCCACTTGGTTTGCAGCGCTTCTCCCCTCCCTTTTTCTGTTAGACTCACCCATCGGTCGGACAACCCGGTCCGTATGCTTCTGAAGCCGCTCAACTGAACAAGTACATCCAGTATTATATTATAGAGGACCCCCCAGATCGAGCGCTGTATCTCGGTATGCTGTCCTTGTAACTTTCCATCTCAGATAGATAAAAGTAACTGGTAAATGATTCAACTCACTAGCATGAAATATCGGTTTTGGTAGAACCAATCTTTACAAGTTCATGGAAAAGTGGTAAGAAATGTATTATTTTCTGGTAATATTATCATACCTATATTTTCTCTCAGTGTAAGACTATTTGTGTATATTCTAGAAATATCCTGTAAAGTTTAATGTTGGGACATGTCCTGCCAATAATGGACCTTCTTCTCCAGTTGTTTACGATAAGGGAAGTGCAGAGGAGACAATTAGACTTAATGCACCTCATACAAAAAGTAAGTTTTTCACGTATGGATTTGCACTTTATATTAAAGTGACTCTCTCTGTGTTAATAATATACAGTCATTTTTTTGTAGTATGCTTCTAATAGGTGAGTAGGTGCTTGTGATAAGTTAGTAATAAAATGTTGCCCGGTTTTATTTATCACTGTGTGCTATATAACTAACCTCATTGACCAAAGCCACTAATACAATTTGAACTTGAATTCAAGTCAGAATAGAACAATCTTCTTGATCACTATAACCCACACAGACAGATGTTATCAAGTCTATTCTAAAGGCCACTATCTATCAGATTGTTTTCAGTCTCTAGTCTGTATGCCCACTTAGCCACCAATAAGATTCAGATCTTTTACCTGGACACTTTTAATTCTGATTTGGGGCCTTGGTGCTGTTGGAACTTCTTGCAAAGCCTCACAGAGAAACACAAGCACACAGTCTGATATGCATGCTGCTCATGGCTTGAAACAGGAAGGAAGCCATAGCTTTATTCTCTACCTCATTAAATACAACAGAGATTCTACCATAGATATCACAGAATTTATAAACACTGCCATCTAGTGACCAAAATTGTATACTGCAGAAGTTATTGCTATAGATACAATAATGTGTATTCTAACAGGTGCAACAAAGATTATTTGAGACTATCTGGCCCAATATGAAAAGGGCACATTACTTATAAGGCATCTGATGGCTAAGTAGATTTCCAGATCATTCCAGGTGGATCATTATAAAAGGTGTGCAAAATATTTGTTCTATTAGAAAGCAGCCACAGCCAAAGGCCCCTTCCATACAGGCAGCCTGTCCAGATCTGCCTGGCAGTTTTTCGGATGAATCTGTGAAGGTCAATGTAACTCAATAAGCAGCTGGATGTAAATGGACATATCTCCAAATACATCCAATTACCCCTGAACAAAAAAAAAACCAACAGAACTGAGATCCATTTTGGCAGACCAGATCGTGGTGGATTAGTGGTAATCCGATGTAAATGGACAAATGTCTGCTTACATCCGACTCCCCATAGGCCTAACATGGGATTATGGAGGAAATGGAGATAATAATTGAACTGACACAGATGTCACAAGAATTACATCCATTTTGTACTGCTCTGATCTGCCTGGGATGTGAGCATAGATCCCCTGCTGCTTGGAACAGACAGGTGCCTGTATAAAAAGGGCCTTAGTAGAGAAACCTATGCCATTCCAGTATAATGTTAAAAAGCACTCTTGCTCTCAATCCCCACCTCCTGCCATTCTAATGCTCTCTGCTGATTGAAGAGCTCTTGCACTGACTGTGCAAGGGTCCTTCCGTACAGAATGCTGGAAGATGATAGCCTTTTTTTTGCTCAAGCTGTGGCTGCTTTCTTAAAAGAACAAACTGTAATACTTTCACACCTTTCGTTTTGATGCACCTAAAATATATTTAGCATATTTAAACAGAAAGATCAGTTGGGCTTTAAGGTGTCTACAGACATTAGAAATTAGTGACAAATATTGTTTAGCTACTAGGCACAGGCAGCCACCATCTAATTTTATGGGAGAAGCTTTATTCTATAGAAACTATGCTACCACCACTATGACTTCAATGCTCTGGCCATTCACTGTTTCCTGGTTGCAGCCTGGCCTAAGCATTAATTTGCCACTTTACAGAAAACCTTGCAACCCACACAAATAGTTCACCTCACAGTGGTTGCATTGGAGCAAAGGAAACATTAAGGTGTTAATTAAGGCAGCTGAGTGATTAACCCAGCCAAAGTGAAGTGAGCCGAACGCTATTCGGCTATTCAATCAGTCTTGTATGGTTGATTTCAGCCATACATGGGCTAAAATCAGCCGTAGATTGGCTGCCTTCGGTCAGCCGAACATGCTCTGCACGTTTAGCTGAGCCGTAGTCAGGGGCGTATCTGCCGCGAGGCAAACAAGGCATGAAAAGAATGGGGGGGAAAAAGTTGAAAAATTATTTTAAAAATGTAAAAAAAATAGAACAATTAAAAAATAATAAATACAAATATTTTACAGCAAAGAAAAAAAATTAGAAATAAAAAGTAATTTTAAAAAAACATTGCACACCGACCCGACCACATGCAAAGAGGTCATATTGTTTAATGACAGATCAGCGTCCCAAGGTCATTTGGGGAGGCTGATCTGTCATTACAACTGGGCGGAGCGAGCCGTGAGATCACAGGTGGCTCCGCCCAGCTGTCATTTGCGTGGAGATCGGTCGGCATCGGGCGACCTTTCTCCACGCTTCAGCTGTCACTTTGGCTCAGTTGAGCTGAAGCATTTGCCCTCGGCTTGTCTGAGCCGCTCGGCTGCCTTCAAGTGCTATACGGGTTATTGTGAATAGCCCGTACAGCAGCCCTTCGGTTTGACTGAACCATAGGGCTCCTGCAGCTGAAGAGAGCCGAAGGATCAGCCAAAGCTACGGCTGGATCCTTCGGCTCTTTTGTGTATACCCCCCTAAATCTTTGCCTAGTGCAGAGACGCTTCCCAGATAGCAAGCAATTGTGCTGCAAGTTTGAAAATGACTTGCTAAACTATTGCAGACTTGCCAAGCTTCACAATTTTGTTGCACAATTACAGCAAGTCTGCATTGCAAGTCTCCAGACCAGCGAGGCTAAGACCTGCAGGACTCTTGCTGTAGACTTGCCAAGCAAATTTTCTACAAATTCAAAAAGTGTCAACTAGAACTTGTGCTGCAAGTGTTCTGCAAGTCTACAACTTGCCAGGAATGTGTGTGGCAAGTTAACAAGAATTACAATTTAACCCTGCCACAAGTTTGTGGCAAGTTATCCCTGCTATCTGGGTTTATTGCTATTCACAGACCCGCACTTCATAAATGAAACACAAAATTCAACTGATTGTCACGAGCAACAGCTCCAGTATCAGTATTTTATAAATCAAACCCAAATTGCATGGACTTGTTCATGGGATAATATACTGTGTCTTCTCTGATTTTGGTGAATAGTGACTCTATAACTGTATTCTGCAGAGGAAGCCACTGGCGGTTTTATCCAGTTCCGAGTAATCAACAATGAAAAGGCAGCAATTGCTTTATGTCCTGGAGTAAAAGTCATCAAAGGCTGCAATGCAGAACATGTAAGTTGTGACCAGTGACCAAGAATGGCGGTATTTCTTACCTTGTGCATAAAGCACATACGTTAATGATAATTTTGTATGAGAACCTTTAACTCTTGTGATGATATGGTGCTATTCATGTTTTCTACCCCAAGTGACTGAGACAATTTGCTAAATTTTTAAATTTCACAATAAACAAAACTCACTATTTTCTCTTTTTCAACAATCTTTATAAAGTTTACAACAACAAAAGTTTAAGAGAATACAATACAGAAATAAACATATATTTTATATTGGTATTACAAAAGGAAATCTGTAGAAAGTATAAAACAAGAAGGAGAATGAGAGATCCTAGGATATGTCTGATAAGACATTAAAGAAGAACTTCGGGGGTAAAAAAAAAATTCAACCCTGGCAGTGAGGCTAACCCCTCACTGCAAGGATTTAGGCCCCATTCACACTTGGCGATTCGCAAATCGCGCAATTTGCATTTTGCGCGATTTGCATTTTGTGCGATATCACGCGATTTGTCGCGCGATATCACGCAAATGCTTGCATTGAAAAGCATTGAATCGCGGCAAAATCCGCTCCAAAAATGGTCCTGCTGTAGCGACACACGACCCGTGACGGCAGGACCCTTTGACCCATTGCCAAGCATTGGAGAGCGATATCGTGCGGTAAATAGCCGCGATATCGCGGGAATTACCGTGCGATAAATCGCTCAGTGTGAACGGGGCCTAAGTGATCAATGGTGTCTAGGTGCAAAAAAAGGTCATACTCACCCGGATCTAGCCGGCTGTGACACAGCTCCCTCCAGCCTGTCTACACAATGTACATAACACGATCACTCATGGATCCTTAGACCGCTGAAGCAGAGGGGGAGTGAGGCGGAAGGACCTGGTCTAAGAGCCAGTCAGCTGAGAATCAGTATGACTTTTTTTTTTTTACTTAGACACAAACGAGCACTTAAGTTCTGCTTTAATGTAAAAATGTGTAATATAATTTCTAAAACATATAGGGAAGTCTATTGTATTGGATGTATATTTCAGCCAAATGTCCCAGACCTTCCAAAAATCTTCTAGTTTATCATTTAAAACGCTGAGAGATTTTCGTTGATCATTATACAATTTAAATGTGAAAAAAATCCATTTAAAATTAAGTATAGGTGAATTCCAAAATATAGCAATTGAAATTTTGGCGGCAAAAAAGATATAAGAAATTAATTTTCTGGAGTGTATAATGTTATGGCCAATAGAGCGAGAAGAAAAAAAACATGAAAGCAGATTCAGGCAAGGTTATAGGCAAGGTTATATTAGTAACAATATACATTATTAAGCATACTTTGTGTATAAGTTTTAGAACTTCTGGGCAGATCCTTCAAGTGTGTAAGACTGTACCAGGATGATTGCATCTTCTAATAAGGCCCCATTAACATTTACAATTACAGTTATAGTTGCAAACATTTGCAGCAAGAATCTGAGGATTCCTGCAGCCAGAATGACATGTGTTTGTAGCTGCTGCCACTTAGCTTATACAAAGCAATGACAGGCTGATGGTGGCCGCAGTTGTTAGGATATAATTGGACATCATCTGATTAACACTATTTGGAGTTTTTTATTTATTGTTACTTGAACATTAGCACATGAGAAAGCGGAATATACCAAGGGTGTAATCAAGCACTATTAGACCTTTTTATAACAAAGAGGTCATCCTGTTCTGGTGAGTTCTCTGTGTGCACAGGGAGTGGGATTCACTTTTGTCAATAATTTGGACTGCACAGCGCTGTGGACACATATTTATTTATTATTACTAGAGAAGAACACAGTGGACTGGATAAGATGTTGCAGAAGAACTATAAGCACATCTATACACTTTTATTTTATGGATTTGTTTTTATTTATATAACTATTTTGTTATTTATATATATTTGACACTTTGTTTCATTGTTTTTTTTTAGTGTTACACTTTTTACACTATATTAGTATTTAATTTAATAAAGTAAAAAGTAATGAAGCGCCACAGACTGTCACTTCTCAATGGAAAATCCTCTTGGGCATACTGCAGGATGCTGCCCCAAAGAAAGCCGGGAAAGCTATAGATCTATAAAGTAAACACAGATGGGGCGCCTTTCCTGGTGCAGATCAATCTTATTTCGATAAACAAAAAGTAAAAAGCAGGAAGGTACTCACAAAGGATGAGTGTCACACAGTCATGTAAAATAAGCTGACAGGCGGTAAGCACGTTCTGAAGAAGGGGGCATGCCCCGGAAACACGTTAACGTCACCATCACACAGGATCCGTCCAGTGGATGCTTACCGACTGTCAGCTTATTTTACATGACTGAGTGACACTCATCCTTTGTGAGTACCTTCCTGCTTTTTACTTTATGTTTATCGAAATAAAATTAAGCAGGAGTTGACCAAAATTTGAGTAGTGTATGGCCAGATTTACACTGTAATTTTCTTTGTCAGAAAAAGCGGCTGGGAGCTTATCTATCCTAAATAATGTGGTCAATTTACTACAGAAGTAGAGATTGTTCACTGAGCAAAATAGCCCCACCAGCACTAGTCAAAGTCTCAATGTCCAAGCAGAAGGTGCTGACGGCAGTTCCTGAATGTAGCTCGGTGTTAAGCTAAAGAGTTTAGAAGGAATTATTACAGATTGTATGTGGCAGGGAACTAGAGTTCAGCTTTTTTTATTTAGAGTATTTTGTCATTATATTATTTTCCATTATTAGCCATATACAGTATAATGATACATGATTATATGTCTTCTACTACAGTACTGCATTGGAGGAGGTGGTTTCTTTCCAGAGGCGAGTCCCGGGCAGTGTGGAGACTTTACAGCGATGGCCTGGAGTGGCATCGGCACACACATTGACTGGAGCGCTAGCAAGGAATTAGCAGAATCCGCTGTACTAATCTTCTACCGCTGAGCTCCCTGTACAAATGCTGTATCAATAACTAGCTTTGTTTTTATGCTGCTTGTGTTGTAATCACAAATATAACATTCAGAATTCATTGTACAATTAGATGTTTAAAATTAATAAATACCATCTTGATGTAAAGTTTTCTTCTTTAAAACATAACTGTAGGGAAGGGACAAGTTAGGCTGTAGCAGCATTGTCATCTATGAAAGGGAAATTATATATTTGTTTCAATCTTTTTAGATACATTTGTGAATATGATAATGATAATTTAAAAAATCTTATCATTAAATAAATATCAGCATATTACAAAATTTGTTTGGTGTATAGTTTGTAAATATATATGTACATGGGGGACAGCCATATTTGCTCATTATGCCTTGACCTGCTCAGGGGACTTGGGAGTTGCCTGAGCTAAGGCCTCTATATTTATGCCCAGGCTCCTGTACCCATCATCTCTGTTCCAATTGTAATATCAAGGATCTAATACCCTTTGTAAATGGGTATTAGAAATAAAACAGTGACGATGGGCACAGGAGCCTGGGTATAGGTAGAGAGGTCTTTGCTCAGGCAACTCCCAAGTGCACTCAGCTGGTTTAATAGCTTGACCCCAGAGGAAGTTTCCAGCAGCACTTCTCACTAAGAACTAGCCAGGAGAGTGCAAGATTGTCTTAACACCTAGGATATTAACAAAAAAACTGAAGGATCCAGCCATAGCTTTGCTGATCCTTCTTCTCACTTTGGACGATGGAGCCCTTTTGGTCCCAACGAGAATATGGGGCGAACGGCAGCAAGTGAGCTGCCGGAGGTTCGACTCAGCCGATCCAGATGTTGAATCGGCTGAGTCGAACTCCTTCTGCACTTCGGCTCAGCCGAAGATGCAGAACATATTTGGCTGATCGAAGGCAGCCGCTGTACGGCTGATTTTAACCGATGTACGGCTGAAATCAGCCATACAAGGCTGAAGTAAATGGACGAACAGCATTCGGCTCACTTCACTTCGGTTGGGTTATTCACTGAAAAGACCTGTGCTTCTTGGGAATTTGAAAGCGGTTGTACAGATGAACATGAATCAAGCTTTGGACACAGGTGCACAACAGCAGACTGATCCTGCAGAGATAGAGCTGCAACATGAACAGCTGGGGACAATGATGCAGGTTGGTTTTGGAGGCAGCAAACTGTTACATTCTACTAACAAGTTTATTTTAAGCATTGAAATAAAAAGAGAAAAAATACGGGACATCAAAATTATTCCCTGGCATGCTCCATAATAGCTAGAGAAGAACACATAACTCCATAATAGAACATGCAGCATTCACATGCATTATTCTCACAGTAAAGTACATCTAAACCTAATAACTAAGGGGGTTATTTACAAAGCTGCCGAAGGCAGCTAAGTGAATGACCCAGCCGAAGTGAAGTGAGCCAGACAACGTTCAGCTATTCTTTGCGGCTCACTGCGGCCAAATAGCCCGTATAGCAGCCCTTCGGTTCGACTGAACTGAAGGGCGCCGCCAGCCAAAGAGAGCTGAAGGATCAGCCGAAGCTACGGCTGGACCCTTCAGCTCCTTTGTGAATAGACCCCTAAATCTCATAAGTTGTCAATGTCATTACAAATATTGTTTTTATTCTTTTCACATTTTCAGCTTGTTGGTCTTTATTCAGGAAATACCTATTCTGAGGTGGCAACCGTCTCCAAAGTTTGCTCCTACCTTGTCACCCTAGTAGATAAGCACCTGATGGAGACTACAAGCAGTCATGTTTACACACATTGCACATGCATGATCAACTGTCACTGTCAGGATGCCGGCCCAAAGCAATGATGGGCCATCAATACTTGAGTGAGTGCATGTAGACAGCTTTCTGAGAATTTAAATAGGGACACTTTTATTTTAAAGTAAGTAGGCAAAGAACACACCCCTGCCATGCCCCCAGTTACACACTGTGACTGTGAACAATTCATTAAAAAAAATTATTGGCCGATTGGCAATATTGAATTTTAACGCTTATACTTTTCTTTTACACTGGCAAAATGCAAAATAAGAGTTGGATGAAAATTTTAGAGTAGCATTATCATTTTAATAGTTAAAGTAAAACTGAAGCCAAACCTTTTTTTAGTTTTGGAGAGAGTAAGGGAGGGTTGTATCTCCTGTCAGCATTTTTGCTATCTGTGTTCCATTGGGGAGATTAACCTTCACTTCCTGTCCACTAGCTGGAACAGCAAGTGCGCAGACATTTCCTTAAAGAGAGGAAAATCCCTGGCGATCAGCAGGGTCACCAGAACGAGTTTCCCTATTTGAATATTTCCCATCTATTCCTATTCTGATGACAACTTCAAATTTGGGATTTTCTTTTACTTTCAGTGTTAACAGTCACAGGGATAGATAGAGAGGATGAAACTTCCTAATGGGGACACAGGCAGAAATAAAAACCAGTAAGGTGTTCTAACCCTTCTCCACTTTATCCAAAACTAAAAATAATGTTTTTGCTTAAGTTGCACTTTAAATGGGATACTTTTTAATATAGGTCTAGGCATCAGATCAAAAAGAGAGACAACCAAGGAGTAAAGAGAGACTGCACAATGTATTTAAGTAATAGACACACATCTGCGGCACCCCCAGTTATGGAGAGAATTAGGAAGTTAACATTTCCTTTATACTGGCTATTCAAAATAGTAAACAAGATAACAAGATAGGATCAATATTTTAGTCCAGAATAACACTTTTGGTAGTTAAATAGAACATTTTCATAGATATGTGTACAATAGACCAAAAAGAGGGACAATTGAGGGGGAAAAGGGGACAGAGGGATTTGGTTCTGAGTCCCACCAAATGAAGGACAGTTGGGAGATATGTAGCTTATGAAAGCTATGAAATAAGTCAGTTTGAGTATCGGAAATTACATCCTACTTACCAATCTCCACATCCCATAACAGAAAATTCTTGGCTGCCTGGGAGCTGATCACCAGATGGCAACCCAGCATTAGATATGGTAATAACACTTACTAGGTTTTCCTGTTACGTCATAAAGCATGCTAGAAGCTATGGTCAGACTAAGAATGCTTGCCTTCGTTGGCACTCACAGAACTTTGCAGTCTTTTAAGACTTCTTTAACGCTTAATATTTTTTATTTAAAAATAAGGGCTCTATGTGTGTCAGTGCAATAACACAGCAAGCCTTCTTGAATGGGAAATCTCAGTGAATCCCTCGCCATATGCTTCTCAACCTTCAGCTGTCTGGCTGAACAGGTGTGAAGCCACAATAGTCCAGCTATGTCCTTCCTCATAGAGGAATGGAAGACACAGGGACCGTCCCCCTTACAGGAACTCTGCAGACTTGTAATCAGAGAGTAGGAGCCAAGCGAGCTGCAAAGAAATGGATTTCACTGTCACACATTTTATTCTCCTCATCACAGGTACTGAACTGATTGTGCTTTTTACATTCACACAAATGCCAAATTCTGGTGTGATGAAATAAATTAATAACTGAATTAGCTTTTATATTATGATAGAAATGTATGCGTCTCTTTCACATGATCACGATACATCTAAGAGCATTTGTTTTTGTCTGCCTAAGATGGTTAGAACATGCAATTGTACATGTATATAATGCTTACAATCTAACCTATGTCTAGTCAGTTATGGTTTTACCTTAGGTAATTCTCTATTTGCTGTATGGTATGTGGATTTGTGCACTGTGAGCTCACCTATCTTTGGTTTTAACTGCGGTGTGATCAGGTAATATAATTTATTTATCACACATTGAATGTACTAAAATGTGTGTGTTTGAAAGAAAACATTTCTTGTTGGACATACCAATCTGATCCCCTTTATTGTTGTTGTGCAGTATGGGAAGAATGAAAGAGGAGTTTCAGTTTTGCCTATGTTCAGTCTATCTTACGTCAATTAGTTGTTTCATTTTTGGGGAGATCCTTATATCTATAGGTGCTCTATCTTCATTGACATTAATGCATTCCACTGTGAAACCTAGGATACCCAAGTCGATGGAGGGAGCACTTACATTCAAAAGGTCAGAAAATAAATTGCCAGCAAAAGACTGGTTCTGGATTTTGGTTCCAGTCCAAACCTGAGCTCATCCGACCAACTAAGTGCCATGGGAACTTCCACCCAATCAGCTGTGGGTTGGGCATCCCCACCCCGCAGGTGTATGTGAACAAAGGGGTGGGATGCTTGAGTGATGTCATTTACCTTATATGACTACATAGGCATATCAGGGTAAATAGCATTTACCAAATATAGTGTTGTAGTCGTATAAGGTCAATGATGTCCCTACATCCCGCCACTTTGCTTACATTAAGTTTGGAGTGGGGAAATTCCCCACCAGCAGCTGATTGGGTGGCATGAAAGGAACCTTCTTACATGTTTATGAGGAGGCCCTTCTGGGTTCAGAGGTGCTCAGGTTCAGACTGGGTTTGCTCCAAACCTGAGCTAATCTCTACTGATGATCTTGGTTCCTGTATCAAACTGACAACACCATCAGTAAATAAATATGCCATTGAAATTATTCTGTTATATTTGTTCGATAAGTGCACAAAATACCTGGTGATCCTGACAGAAATTCAGAGTCCTGTGTCTTGTGAATACGTCCTTTGTTATCTCAAGGAGGGTAATTAGCCCTCCTGGTTCTTATCTTGGGACTACAAAATGATTAATGTCTATGTTGTAAAGATGGTGAATGGATTTGAGTAGTTTAGCAAAACTAAACTGGGCACAGCTTACACCCCTCTCAAAAATGCTGTGTATTGTCAGTCTAAAACATACTTTACCTTGTAAATAGAATATTCACTTAGCTTAGCATCCAATTTTCTATGCATTTTGTGCAAAGTGAATTTTCACTTTGCTTCTTCTTATTCACTATAATGGAAAATTCACTTTGAAAGTGAATATGCTCTACGTCTGTAGTAAATCAACCCCACCATGTGGCTATAAGCATTATCTCAGCATTACCTTTTTATTTAGTGAGTCCTGAAAAAGATATGTGATTGCCTATTAGTCACAACACTAATGCCATGTCACAACCTTTTTCACGATGCCTGACATTTTTGAATTTCTAGAATCCTTTTTC